GAGTGGAGAAGTCTCTGTGGTGGGATGCTGCTGGCTGGCTCCTGCGTGGGACCGAGCTGTCATCCCACGTGCTCCAGCTCCTGGGGTCCCTGTGCTGGGTGAGCAGCACCCGCAGGCATTGCTAGAGCTACGGCTTTGGCAGCGGCCGTTGTTTGTGGTAGGGCCTAGAGGAAGTGATCTGTTGCATGGGAGTCTCTCCACCCTGGCATTAGTCAGCGGCAGCAGCGCTTGCTGCAGGAGGCTGCCTTGACAGACCTGTTCCCCCTGTCTCCAGTGGCTGAGGCCAGCGGGGATGGGCACAGGAGGAAGCTTCGATCCCTCTGTCTCTGCTGCCGGTTTGTCTTCCTGAGCCTGCTTGATACCGAGGTCTGAGCTCCCTGAGTGCCAGTTCCCATTGAGTTATCCCATTCCCTGAGCGCCTGCTCTCCTGGACCCATCCTCCGCCCCATCCTGGGAGCTGCTTCCAGCCGGGGCCGGCAGAGCTGGCAGCCTCCAGCCCTTTCCCTGCAGCCTCGGGGCCGTGCGCACTCCTGGCCCTGCTGGTGCCCCAGTGGGGCCAGTGCCACCACCTTCCTCCCCCAGTTCAGTGAACTCGGTGCCGCTGTGTAAATAGCAATTAGAGTCCAGGGCATGAATCAGCCAGGGACAGTCTCTGGGACAGGAAGGGACAGCGGTGCCACACCATGCCTGTGACCCAGCTACCCTCCCACATGCCAGATCATGGGGTCCTGCACGGGTGAGCGTCGCCCCGGGGCATTCCTTGAGCTGTGGCACCACAGTGAGTGGAAACAGGGTGTTTTTCGGGTCTCCACTCCGCTGCTTTGCCAGTGCTGTCTTGCTGCGAGGAGCTGTTGCACTTGCAGACCCAGGCTGGGCTGGGTGTCACCGCGTCCCGGGGACAGCCAGGGAGCTAGCACGGAGCTGCTGCATGGCAGTCATCACGCTGGTGACACCATCCCCTTGCACGGGGCACTATCCAGCCTGCGCCCTTCCTTCCAAGCCCTGCAAGCTGCTTATGGGGCACGGCAAGGCAAGGTGGCCCAGCGCAGGGACTGACCCGGGGGACAGGGATGAGGTGGGGGCTGTACTGGGGCAACGCAGGGCCCACGCTGGTGTGCTGTGCTGGGGTCTGAGCTGGGGGGCTGGACTGGGAGCAGAGCAGAGTCCATGCTGCCATGCCCCACGGGCAGCAGTGTGGGGAGCGCTGGCCACAGAGGTGGCTCCATTTTTGCTGGGCAAGGGGAAGAGGCGGCCGTGGGCCCAGCTCCTCCCCGGCTCCCGCAGGAGCTGATTGGCGCGGGCCTGGCTGGCCGCCCCCGGGCG